GGACACGTCCCCAGTGTCCCCAACCCCCTGCCACCCCATTTGGGGACCCTGATTTGCACGCTCAGTTTGACCTGGGCCACCTGGGGGGTGTGTCCCCAAGCTGCCCGCAGTGTCCCCACCCCTCTGGACACGTCCCCAGTGTCCCCAAGCCCTGCCACCCCATCTGGGGACCCCGATCTGCACGCTCAGTTTGACCTGGGGCACCAATTTGGGCCACCTGCAGGGTGTGTCCCCAAGCTGCCTGCAGTGTCCCCACCCCTCAGGACACGTCCCCAGTGTCCCCAACCCCCTGCCACCCCATTTGGGGACCCTGATTTGCACGCTCAGTTTGACCTGGGCCACCTCGGGGGTGTGTCCCCAAGCTGCCCGCAGTGTCCCCACCCCTCTGGACACGTCCCCAGTGTCCCCAACCCCCTGCCACCCCATTTGGGGACCCTGATTTGCACGCTCAGTTTGACCTGGGCCACCAATTTGGGCCACCTGGGGGGTGTGTCCCCAAACTTGTCCCCAACCTGTGTCCTTGTCCCTACGCTGTGTCCATGTCCTCACCCTCAGGACATGTCCCCACCCTGTGTCCTTGTCCCCCCCGTGTCCTTGTCCTTACCCCGTGTCCTTGTCCCCACCCTGTGTCCTTGTCCCCTCCCTCAGGACATGTCCCCAACCCTTTGTCCCCTCACTGGGGACCCCCAACCCCCCGATCTGCACTTGGGTCACTTTGCCCTGCAGGACCGATTTGTCCTTCTTGGGGACACCTCGGGGACACGTCCCCACCCTTGGTGTTGTTCAGCCACCCCTCAGGACGCGTCCCCAGTGTCCCCACCCCTCTGGACACGTCCCCAGTGTCCCCAACCCCCTGCCACCCCATTTGGGGACCCCGATCTGCACGCTCAGTTTGACCTGGCACACCGATTTGTCCTTGGTGCCACCTGTCCCCAAGCTGCCCGCAGTGTCCCCACCCCTCTGGACACGTCCCCAGTGTCCCCAAGCCCTGCCACCCCATCTGGGGACCCCGATCTGCACGCTCAGTTTGACCTGGGGCACCAATTTGGGCCACCTGCAGGGTGTGTCCCCAAGCTGCCTGCAGTGTCCCCACCCCTCAGGACACGTCCCCACTGTCCCCAAGCCCTGCCACCCCATTTGGGGACCCCGATCTGCACGCTCAGTTTGACCTGGCACACCGATTTGTCCTTGGTGCCACCTGTCCCCAAGCTGCCCGCAGTGTCCCCACCCCTCTGGACACGTCCCCAATGTCCCCAGCCCCTGCCACCCCATTTGGAGACCCCGATCTGCACACTCAGTTTGACCTGGGCCACCTGGGGGGTGTGTCCCCAAGCTGCCCGCAGTGTCCCCACCCCTCCGGACGCGTCCCCACCCCCTTGTCCCCTCATTTGGGGACCCCAGCCCCCACCTGCCTTCCCGATCTGCACGGCCAGCTGGGTCAGCTTGGCCTGGAGCACGGACTTCTCCTTCTTGGGGCCACCTCGGGGACGCGTCCCCGGCCCGTCCCCGCTGTCCCCTCCCTCGGCGCTCTTCAGCGGCTGCATCTCCATGGCCACCGCCCCGTCCTGCCGCTTGCCTGGGGACACCGGCCACGTGGCAGGGGGACAAGGGGGGCACGCACAGGGAGGGGGGTTTGGGGTTGTCCCCACCCGACCCCAAAGCACCTTTGGGTTGTGGGGCGTCCACGGCGCCATCCTGCGGCTTCCCTGTGGGACAAAGCGGGGTGGGGACACCCCGAAATGTGACCTGGGGGGGACAGGGAGAGCCCCCGGCCTGGGGACAGGGAGGGGTGGTGGCACTGGGGTTGGGGGAGGGGAGTGGCAGTGGTGGCACTGGTGGGGACAGGGATGGGAGGGGTCGGGGACAGAGGGGGACAGAGGGTCTGGGGACCTTGGGGACACAGAAGGACAGAGGGGGACAGAGGGGTCTGGGGACCTTGGGGACAGAGAAGGACAAAGGGGGACAGAGGGTGTGGGGACCTTGGGGACAGAGGAGGACAGAGGAGGACACAGGGGTCTGGGGACCTTGGGGACAGACTGGGACCAAGTCCATGGGGACAGAGTGGGACAGAAGGGTCTGGAGCCCTCAGGGACATCAGAGGGACTTGGGGACAGAAGGTGACAGTTCCCACAGGGCCACCAGCCACCCACGGTGCCACCCAGTGCCAGATTCCTTGGGGACAGTGCCACCCAGTGCCAGCCCCCTTGGGGCCACCCCCAGTGCCAGCTCCCACGGAGCCACCCCCGGCTGCGGTGTCACCTTTCCTGTCCCTGCCGTCGTCCTCGTCGTCCCCCGCGGCGCCCAGCAGGGTGAAGATGATGCCGCTCTGCGAGTTGACCCCCACGGCCGTCACCACCATCCTGCCCGAGCCCTCCATGACGTGCGTGCCTGGCGGGGACACCGCGGGTCACGGCGCGGTCCCCCGGGCGTGGCCGGTGTCCCCGAACGTCCCTCACCCGAGAGCAGCAGCGGGTCCTTGTCCAGGGACTTGCGGACGTGGTCGCTCTCCCCGGTCAGGGCGCTCTCGTCGATCTTGAGGTCGTTGCCCTGGATCAGGACCCCGTCGGCCGGCAGGAGGTCACCTGCGAGGGGACAGGGCCACCACGGTGTCACCGGGGAGCTTGGGGGCGTCCTGGGGTGTCCCCAGGCCAGGTGTCAGGGCTGTGTCACCACGGTGTCACCAGGACCTTGTGGTGTGTTCTGAGGTGTCCTGATGTCCCCTGATGTGCCATCGTGTGCCCACGGGTGCAGGAACACAAGAGGACAGGGGGATGGGGACACAGTGATGGCATCGGGATGGGGATGGTGACACAAGGGTGGGGACAGGGGATGGGGACACAGGGATGGGGACAGGGGATGGCATTGGGGTGGGGACACAGGGGATGGGGACACAGG